TAAAAATGACCCAATCACGCTGATTTTCGAACTTGACCTGCGTATTATAAATATTCATCAGATCTGTAAGTTTCAAGCCAAAAAGTAAAATAGTTTTCCACTTATTGTGTTATCGGTGCTGTATATATGCTGAAAAAAGTGAAAAAACAGCATAAATTCCCTATAAGTGACCCGATCATGCTGATTTTCGAACTTGACCTGCGTATTATGAATATTCATCAGTTCTGTAAGTTTCAAGCCAAAAGAAAAAACAGTTTTCCACTTATCGTGTTATCGGTAAAAGTGCACGGCGACGGCGACGACGACGGCGACGGCGACGACGACGGCGACGGCGACGGCGACGACAGACGCAGATGATGGCTATATGTACAGACACATCTGTGTCTGTACATAAAAAGAATGGGTCTCTAGCATTAACGGTTCCCAACTTAGAGACAGCTTTTAGTTTCGATATCTTATGGCTGCTACTCCCATGGAAATGCACCAATTGACCCCAAATTCATGGAGATGACAGATGACCTGAAGGGTAATACTTTCTATTAATATTATTGGTTAAGTCTGTGTGGTGTCTGAATGACAGCGCAAAAAATTTTTTTCGGCAAAAATTTTGTTTTTTTTGGAAAATTTTGGCCCGTTTGACCTCGAAATAAAGGTCATAATTCCTTCCATAGGGTAGATAATTAGCATTTACTTTTGCCATTTTTGGACAAGGGTGCATTGCAATGAGTGCCACACCTAGACCCCAATACTGACAAAGCCCAAATTTTACGTGGAACGAGTTGAGATTATAGTTGACCTAAATCCAAGAGATGGGTATGGAGGCCCTTACCGTCTAGGAGGAGAAGCGGTAACGGTAACTTGGCGGCGGAGCTGGCGGAATGGACCGAAGGGACTAAAACCATGTGTACCGCCAGCGCCAACGCTGGTGGTACAAAAATAAGATGAGCGCGTACTTCTTAGCCTAGCTAAGCACTACCAAATACAAAATTACCTGGATCACTTGTTTGTACTGCATGTGCACTATCTGTAAAAATAAGAAGGATTACAAGAATATGCGCATGATGAACCATAATTAGCAATTAATAATGCATGTAATTTAAGTATGAAGAACTTATTAATAGATATGTGTTGTGAGCAAAAGGTAACCTGCTGTACATTTACCTTCTGCACCGCAAGTAAATTATCAAAATACCACCAGGCCATAGTATTTATTTTTGTCATTAAATGTTTTCCAAATATGCTTGGGCATTTGTTTTTACATTAAAAGTTAAAACAAGTCTAGCGCTGTGCACAGCTGGGTAATAAATCTAATATGCGACAGTTTTTATGAAAAATGTTCGGCACATAGAATTGCAACAGTCTTACCCTCACCCAGACATTGATGCCCATGTAAAAGTTGTATCATTGGAATGATCAAAATATAAATTGCATGATTTTGTGGGTGATATTTATATTGTTCTAACGAAGGCAATGGGCAAATATTGCCAAGGGGAAAAATAAGATCTGAAAAGATATAGTCCAGGATTTTGGTGAAAAATTGTGCATTTTTTACCTACAGGCATGAAATTTGGCACACTTATGGACAATGAAATTCTAAGCAAATTTGGATATATGGGCATGTCTGAAAATTCCAAAAAGGCCGTCAAATCCAAGATGGCCACCATTTTCATGTTCAGTTATTTGAACGTATAAGTTTGTAACTAAACCAGTTGCCAAATGATGAAATGAAAACCAAAGTTTGGCGCCTTTTTTCTTCTTTTTTAGTGCACGAAGTGTGAAGCCTGCAATGCAACTCTTGGATACAGCACGTATCAACACCTGCCCTCTGTTTGGGGTATTTCTTTGCTCATTAATTTTCACTAAATTCTCGGTAGCCATTACTGCGAATGTACCAAATCCATTTCTTGAAATAAGAAGCTTTTCTAATTTACTTTTGAAGCACAAGATGACATCATAATATTACCGAGTGCAAATGTGCCCCTTTTAGTACTTTACCAATGCAAGACAATTGTTGAGACCTGTATGTTTGATTAGCTGTCATTTTAGTTATATTTGTGAGCATTTGATGAAGCACCATGCACTGATCTAGCTGAAGAATCATAACCAACAGACAAAATTGGTACACCCCAAGCTTTTTTATATTTGCCTCTTTAAGGCTAAGGTATTCTGGTGTTTCTTTCACATTTTATGGATTTTGCACGATACTTTTTTTCTTAGAAAGGGGGAGTCACTCATGAGTGCCATATAAGTAGATCGCTAACTGAGGATTGATCTAAATGAGAATCCAGAGCAAAAAGCCAAACTACTTATGTTGGTTTATCAAAAGAAGGACTGTTTTCAGTACATAAAAAATGTATCATGCTTGATGTATTTTTTTAACTCTGTAGAATAGCTCCTGCACAGGTAGGAATATGCTGATTATACAGGTAGTTGCAAAGCCCACATGCCTATTCACGAGTGATTACAATTCAATACTTGTGGTCCGCTGACTTTTGGAGGCCATTTTGGAATTTTTAAAACCTAAAGTGGCAGATACTGATACTACATACACACTACAGTATGTTCTAACCATTAGATGATATTTTTATGAAAGACTATACAAATAACTTTCACCTTGAAAGGGTATTTTGGGGGCTGTGAAATCGTTGAGACATTGGAGAGTTTATGTTACTCATGCTTTATTTTTAAACGTTCAGTTCAGTAACCATTCACATCGCTTATGTCGGTACATTAAATGGACTAGTCAGCAGGTCAGCATATCAGCATGACAGCAAGTAAGCAAGCAAGCAAGGTACATAATCTAAAAAAAAAAAAACAAAACAATAAATAAATAAAATGAATATNCCCCTATATCCAACGTTGCTTAGAATCATGTTCTACATAACTGTGCCAATTTTTATGCTTGCAATTGTAAGTGCTTGATGATTTTACAAAACTGCTGCATATTTTGCGTAAGTAAACTGCTTATTTTACTTTTGGAGGCCATTTTGGAATTCTAAACACCTGTAGAAGCGGATATTGATAATTCATTTATAGCATGATATTTTCCAGCTATAAATGATATTCTGAACCATTTTAGGACTATATATTAGATGTTTTAATTTAAAAGAGTATTTGTGGCGGCCATATTGGATTTGGCGGGCATACTGGAATTTTCAGACATGCCCATATATCCAAAAAAGCTTAGAATTCCATTATCTACAACTGTGGCAAATTTCATGCTTGTAGGTAAAAAACGCACAATTCACCCTTTTTTCTGCACCAATTTCTTGGACTATATATTGACCAAAATATGCAACTGTTGCACGTTTATCAGTGGAACTAAATATCGACATTCGTGAGGACGAGCTAAAAGTTGATAATAGAAGTACATTATAATTAGTTTGTTAGCCTTAATGCAATCAGCAAGAGTTCCAGAGAAATGGGATCGAGAACGTATTCCATTGGGAATGAGTTCATAGTCTCACAGCGTGGCGCGGCGTTTCACTCACTTATCCTTGGGGTGTAGATGCAGCATTGCTGCTGGCTGATTTTAAATGTTGATGAATGAATATCAACCGATTCCATGGATTTTTAAATCTGGCTAAACCTAGTGGTAACATTGTTTATCCCGATAACGCTGAGTCCCGGGGTCAACGATGGCTCCGCTTATTTTTCGCCAAGAGTCTGTGGCGTTAATCAGGCACGTCTGTCCTGCGTTAAATCGCTTGATTTAGCCCTCTTTACACTGGACGGCGTCCTTTCTGCGTCCCGTAGTACATGTACGGCCCCGTTGAGAGTATAATAATAATAATAATAATAATAATAATAATAATTTCCGTGCCGACAACTGGCCGATCAAAGAGCATTCATTCTGCAACAAAAGCGATGCTTGTGTCTCCTTTTCTACGACCACAGCGATGGCAGTTTCATGGTTGCACAAAGGACGCAGAAATAACACCGTCCAAAGTTAATTTTACACAGATAACACAAGGATAATATAGTGATCAAAATGTAACACTTATAAAATAGTAAACAGATAGAACTACTTGAAAGTGAAGATAGAAACAGATTACTATAACCGGGCGTATCGAAACTGTAGTTAGCTGTATGCTGAGTTCTTTTCTGCATTAGCTTTCTTTCAAATTATGAGCATTATCTATTGCGTCACAGTCTTATTTGCTGGTTTTAAAAACAATGAAATGGTATAAATAGACAAGAAAAGAAGAAAAAATTCAAAGTCATGTTAACATCAAGCTAAATCTATTATTATATTATTTACAACGTGTGTTCTTCATGGGAGTAAAATAAATTTTAGAAATAAATTTGTTCACTTACCTCTAATTGGATGTGATATTTTTCATATCAGGGTGAAATTTTACTGCTTGGGGCCAGTTTTACATGCCTTCCCCCCTGCTGCATTTTAGTGCTTATTTTGGCTGACTGGCGGCAGCACCTTACGAGTCATGTCGTGTCACTGGAAGGCTATGCCATTAATGTATCCTGATTTTTTATTGTTTAGGCCTTGAGTAGAAGTATTTAAACCTGGAGTGTTGTGTTTGTTAAAGAATGGAAAGTATTTTTGAGAGAATTAAACGTTACAATGGAAGTGAATGGGATTTTTAAAAGTGGTTTGTAACCTACAGAGCTCGTCTCTTACTGTGGGTTTTTGAGCTTCAATGGCTATAAAACTCGAAATTCACATGGTCATCTCTTGTTCGTCATTCACTGAGACCCTAGAATGCGAAATTGACCAGACCCGCGCTGCGTTTGTCTTATTCTCTGCGTCTTATAAATTTCAATAAATGTCAATTTCGAATTTCGAGTTTTATAACATAGCCATTTGAAGCTCAAAAATCCACAGTAAGAGATGAATGCGACATGGATCGTGTCAATCTCGCATCTATGGAGTTCAGTAAATGGCGAAACAGACAAAGCTATGTCATTTTTGGGGCTTGAAGCTCTTTAGTGAAAGACGTATTCAGCATGGGCCTTGTTAATTGCGCTGGGCACAGGGCTTAATAACATACGAAATAGAAACGGTTCATGTCGTTTTAGAATGTTAAAGGGGCGTCTAAAAGACACGCGCGCAGGCTCCTATGGGCCATGGTAGGAAAGGAAATGCATCCTTCAACATATTGTATTATAATATTCTTGACTAGTCCTGAATTTTTTAATATTAAGATAAAAAATAAAATGCGACTTCACCCAGCCGATCGCAGGTTTGGTATATATGCTTGACCCCTAGATGTCCGAAGACAGCATTCCAAGACAAGCTAATGTTTTACTGTTACTTTGAAGTTGTATTGATGATAAACTAATCAATAAATTTCAAAAGCAAACTGTGTGTATATGTGACTGATTTTATTGTTGATAAACGATCGTCTTCGGCCGAAATAGAAATAGAACTCATGTATTGTGACACTTTAGGGATTTTTACAAATCCTTTTCCTAAAGAGTTTCTCGTTCGCGTCGACTACTGCAAGCAAACAATGCCAGGGCTTTAGATTCTTTGTGAAACACTCCTAGTCGACTGCAGCGTAGTCGACCTAGCTTGGTCATTGAACTCGAGCCAGTCAACTACGGTTTTAAGGTTCTTCGTGAAACGGGGGCCTGCTCTGTAAAAATGCACTTAGTATTCAGTTGGCATGGTCACGTTTCAAAATGTAAAACTCAACATATTGCACCGCAATTAAACTTATAGCAACAAGGCGTAATGCGCTTGCCACCTCTGTACATCCCTCAAAGCTATGTATGTTTTTTTCTGATTAGGCGCCAGGCGAAATAATTGTCCCATTTTAGTGCACAGTTCTAGTATTATAAAACCTTGTTGTCTCAAAAAACATGTTCTTGACAGAAATAAAATATTTAACGAGCGCAGGTGATTATGGTCCACCATGGCTGCACTTAGACTGTCATTACAACAGACAGCTATTTCCTTCAAGTCTGCCTTGAGGTTCCTGTGTACATTAAGATTTTTGTTCCAATTTCATACATTCCTGCTTATTTTGAAACAAAGCAATTGCAGGATTTGCCTCCGATTGTTCCGTGCTTTGAAATTTCTTTGATACTGGTAAGTTATTGACTTTTTTTGGAGAGCAAGGACAGTCTTTAGGAAGAGATGTTTTAACGCGGCCGGTGAGGCTACATATTTCCCCTCAATTCAGACAAATGTCACAAGAATCTTGTACT